GTCGTTCCAAACCCATAAGACCTTCGTTCATCTTCGGAACACAAATTAAGATATTTTTGATGAAATCCAAGAGCTTTCTGATCCTGCCTAGAGAGCAACGCAACTGAAACGTTCAAGACCCAGAAAGGTAGTAAGGACATCGTTTAAATAGTCCATGTGACATCAGTGGCTCAAATGTAATTTTATGAAGTTACGAGAATACGTTTTGTGCAGAATTTTCATTTTGTGTGAACTATCCAGGGTTCGTATGATCATGAAAAACCTGGAAAAGTCATGGGATTTTAAAACCGCAATTTCCAGGTCTGGAAAAGTTTTGGAAAAGTCACGGACATTTATTTTACAAATCTCTGTATAGCAGAATATGTTTAATCAGGTCTTGAATTTCGGTGCGGAATTGCGCATATATCGCATAGTTTTACTCATTCCCACAGCTTTCGATTTTATGTCATGAATTGGAGAATCAAAATATTCTTGTTCAAATTATTAGTCTTCCCTACTCTTATGAACCATGGGATTCGAACTCGGGACACCCTTAGTGCAGTGGTGCTGCATGTGGCACTGCCACAAGGCTATCAGCGCCAACAAAATACATTTAAAAATGCATTTTATATCCCCTTTAATTAAAAGAATGGCCCAAAATAGTCACTTGTTTGTGAATCAGACTACGCTGTTAGTCATGTATGTTTTTGTCTGCAGCCATGAGGTCAACTCAGCATTTTCTTGCTGTAATTTTACATTACACAATCTCTCTCTCTCTTCAGATTCAATTCACTCACAGTACTCCACACACAGTATCAACTTTTTCCATGTCACTGGAGATTCAGCAGTGAAAAAGTTGTCCTTATGGTCTAGTTCAGTCTTTAATGTCTGGCGCAAGTGAGCAAAAAGGCTCAAATCGCTTGCAGCACCTTGTTAGTAGTCGTAGTTGTGCATGCATTTTCACACGTGATGCCTTCTGCCTTGAGCTAATTTTTGCTTTTTTTCTCTTCTCAGGGGATCCACCCTCACTACTGGGCCAAAAGAGTGAAATGCCGAGTATCTGCACACACACACTCACACACACTCGCTCACTAAACGAGGGGAACAACGTTTAACAACTGTGTTAAAGGCACACAACCCAATAACCCATCATTTTTGATGTGATACAAACTCTACTGCTTTTAATACTAATGAGTTTGCTGCTCATGTCCTAATTTCAGTTTTAGACGACACTACTAATAACCTGCACAGTGTGTTGCGAGGGATGTCCAATCTGTTGACGGATGGACCCACACAAACACACCTTAACACAACACACACCCTGGATTTTAATTTCATGCTCTGTTTAGGTTGAGGATTTGAAGGCTCTTGGTAAAAAATACATTACCCAAGCCTGAACATTTTCTCAATGCAAATTGCATTAGTGCTAATCTGTGAATTAATGTCCTCGCGTAACTGTTGCGTGGTAACGTGAGGCGATCAATGCATTTCATTCCAAAGACTGCTTTAGATGAGTTTTTTTTTTTTTGGGTTGGGTTTTAGCTGCAAGTACAACACCGCTTTACCTTTAGCCTCACATCTAAGAGCCTTAGTATTTCAGCCTTTCATAATCAGTTCAACACATTTCATTCGTATGACGAGTACACTTTGAACTAAAACCAAACACGTGTATCTGCGTGTGTGCGTTTGTGACGGTGCTAGCACAAGCATTTTGCAATCGCCGTCTTCATTCATATCCAATCAGGTGGCGTTATCCGTAATAGTCAGGTGACTGTTGAGTAGTGTATTTATTGTAGTGTTCGGTATCGGTCGGAAGACTCTCTGGGAAGATCTGCAGTTGGATGCGTAACTGATTTTTGTATATAAGCGGGATGCGCTGTACATAGCACACTTGTTTCACAACCTTGGTGCTAAGATCTCCTCTGAATCAGGGACCTGTTCACGACGAGGGTCGTAAAGTATCAAATCTCGGTTGATGCCTGCCATTCCTCAGAGTCATTACGTACGGTTCTTTGGCATTTCAGAAATACAGCAAGTGTGTCGGGAATTTCAAAGTACTTCTGGTGTGCCCAAGTGGCTTTTAAGGTTTTGTCAGGGTATTTTTAAGACGATAAACTCTATATACACGCTGGAGGTTCTTTGGTTGGGGATTGTCGCCAATAAAAAAAATTTCAACCAACTACAAGTTCCAGTGTTTCAGTACAAAGTGTATTATTGATTTCTGAGTTTTTAGACATCTGTGATCTCGACCCAAAAGTGGAGAACGAAGCAAAGCTCGAAAGGACATTTTAAGTGATGAGAAACTAGTGCCGCCCAGTTTTCATTTGGCTTACAAAGAGGTCAAAGCCCAGTGGTGAAACTTGAACAAATTCAAAAAGTCCTCTTGATGGGTTTTGTGCTGTTAGTCAATGCAAGGTGTTTCAGAGTAAAATAGCCCAGAGAAAAGAGCTCTTTAAGTGAAAATAAAAATGGGGCACTTTGCTTCTTATTGGCTAAGCAAGGAATCCAAGATCTAACTCTGAAACCTGATGGGGGAAACCAAGGTTAGATGAAGAATCAGACCTGAATCTGATCTTTAGGTTTCTTTGTCAGAGGGAGAGGTCTGGAAATCAAAGGTCACATCTTGGATTAGCCAGTTTCCGTTTTGTGGGGTTTATTTTTATCCTTTACCGGTTTTCCATGGTCATAGACAAGTGCCCAGAAGCGACAAAAAGACTGATGGACCATAAAGAGTGCTCTTGCATAATGGAGCCAAGTCAGTTCTTAACCAGGCTGCCTCCATCCATCCATCCAACTCGGAAAACAAGGTTTCCTACTCGGGGGTGTGATTTTTGGCAAGGAAAACCTGTTGGAGTGATTTTATTTTTTTTTAATGTACAAGGTTATATCTCGTGTCACTTGTCCAATGTCGAGACCACCGATTCATTTTGGGCTATTCGCCTAGTCAGTGAATGTCACATAACCACAGACTTGCGTTCAGTGGAATCCATAATCCTTTGCTGCTTACCTAGTAACTTCGCACGGCACACTAACGGTTAGCTTTATGCTACACTACACGTGTAGGATCACACGAACGGTTTGGTTCATCCATGTATTGCTGCATCGTTACGTTCTCTTCCAAAGACTGCCGATTGCATGGGTGTTTAGACTAGTCCTGCTGTCTCTTTTGTACACCTCTATTTACGCACCCCTCGATGCAATACGAGTCTTGAAATTACAATGACAAAACACATTCCTTACCGAGAGAGGACGAATCTGTGTATAAATAAAAGTAAAAATTGAAAGAAACCGAAAATGTTTATATGTTTGAAAAGCTGCCAATGCAAAATTTAACTTTCCCATTTTCTCACTTATTTGCTTTTCTTTACTAGACATATTATTATGATTACTAGTAATAAGGTGTAAGACGACCATAGTACCTTTTTTGCTAGGATTAAGACTTGCTTGTGATTGTGCAAAAGCCTAAACAACTGACAATTGTATGAAAAAGAAATCATTTCAGTCCACAGCCAAGGTAAAATGACTTTTTGTTAAGTGTTTTTATTTTTTAAAAGCAATTTATCACTGTGTGATATTTTGTACAATATATTAAGCTGCATTCAAACTATATCCTCCAACTACAAGGGATAAAAAAAGACCAGCCTTTTATTTATTTTGTTTTATTATACATATTTTTGAACTGCTTTCTAGCTTGTATCGAAATACATCTTTCTTTCTTTTTTTTAAATTAGTTTTTATTTTATTTACTCTGCAGGTCTTGTGTTGTATGTCATAAAAAAAATCCAAAAACAACTAAATAAAAACATGGTTTTGTACAGACATTTCATCCTTGTCTGGTCTGAACTCTGCTGTCTCTGAAAGTGCCTTTGGGTATACAGAATGTTAAACTAACTAATACTTACCCCATTTCGTCTGTCTGTCTGTCTATCTAAAGCAAAGAAGTGTTGAATTATGTAAAACATACTGTAAGTATTGTAAATCAGAACTTGGTTCAGAATCACCATTTACTGAAACTAAGCTGCAAAAACAACTCGTTATTACAAATATACAAACATTTGTAAGTCTGAAATACACTTTAACACAACAGCACCCACATTTAAATGTCAACAATACCTATATGCTAAATTTGACATTTTGCAGAAAATGCAGTCTTTTCAGAAAAAAAAGTTTTAATAACTATTAAATATTTAGTTTTAAGAACTCATTTTGCACAAAGTAGCTTTAAAAAAGGCTCTTGAATGTGAAAATTCCTTACTCACAAAACCTGCCACCAACTAGCAACAGCAGGTAGAGAGAGAATTCATGGATTTGACTGATTATTTTCAAAAACCTGAAACGGTTAAACAAGAATATTAACTTTTTTTAAATTTGTTTATTTATTTATTTTTGTAAAAAGATAAAATGTAATGTTGCTTTTCACAACAGCTTATTTTGATAAACTAACAAACATTTTTTTGTTTTGAGATCTCAAAAGTTTTTTGATTAATGCAATGTCTGTTATTAGTGAACTGACACTCCCTTCATCAACAAAGGGAAACAATGCAGAACTCCTTCTTATTTAAAATTATTCTGGCTTTAGAATTGCACATGGGTTGATAATTTAGCCATGTTTATGCCACACAAATCAGGTATTTGACTATCATTTGGGACATGCGGAAAAGGGGACTGGGGAAAGAGAGTGAGTAAGAATTAGTGATTGGGAAAAGAGTGCAAGTGGGGCCCCAGGCAAAAAATGAGGAGGACAAATTTGTTCCAGGGTGGGGGAGTAAACAAGGCAAACTGTTACACAAAGAGAAAGACGTAAAAGTTGAGAAGGAGGGAAGAATTTGTATGTGGGACTGGGAGGAGACCGAAGTGGATATGCATGATCTCACAGAGCCTCTCTTTTACAGCTCTCTCTCCTGCTGATTGGCTGAGAGATCTGTCAATCACACCACTTCCTCCAGGGCTCTGTGAGGTTCAGACAGTAGGGAGGTGGAGGCAGGGGGAAGAGGGAGTGTCCTCAGTAGTTTTCTCACTGAGGCACAGCAGACACGGCTCAACACGACAAGAAACTGAAACACAGTCTGACTTGCAAAGCAAGCCTAACCAGGAGCTCTCTCCAGCTTATTTCCTGTTCTTGGAGGCCATCTTGTGTTGACGGACTTACTGCTATAGGTGTTTGTTTGCTTATCTCATTTGTTATAGTTTCTTTTTTGTCTCCAGTGTGTTTCCTTGAAGTTTGGACGTTTTCCTCTTCAAAGCTGCTTTGGAGTAGTGAGGGAACAGGAAGCAGCAAGAGGAGGAGGAGGAGGAGAGGACGTTTAGTTTCAAAGCTAAACTTTATCTGTATTTCTCACTTGCACCTTCTCTGGAATGAAAGCTGTATAGAGGAGCTTTCCGTGAAAGGAAGGGCGAGAAGAAAGAAGAGCCACTTCCTGGAAAGGGATCAGTTGTTTTTAAGCTCTAGTAGACAGGGGACACACAGCAAGGACGGCCACTATTGATGAGTGAGTGACTGCTGGTGTGTGTAGGTGAGTTTGCTGCCTCACACTACCCAGTCTTATCTCTTGACTGTCTTAAGACTCTTCGGCATGGCCAACGTCAGTCCCTTCATGTCTCCGGGACCCATGTCCCAAGTCTTCTTCCCCCCGGGGGGTCCATCTCCACCTGGGTCAGTGGTGATGCAGCAGGGGACACCGGTTTCTGTCCATAACTCTCAAACCCCAGGGATTCCTACAGTGGACATGGGGGTTGCACCGGGTCCCGGCGGGGCATCTGGAATAACGTCTGGGCCTCCGGCACCAGCCGGTGTCTCCTTCATGATACAGATTGGGCTTACTAGAGAATCTGTGCTTCTACCCCAGACTGCAGACCTGGCCTACATCAAACAAATTTCTTGCTCAATTGTGGATCAGAAGGTAAGCACCACCCAGTATGTTATGCCTTGATGCTGTATGCACTAGCACTTTTGCACAAGTTTTGAAGTAGCATGTTTGCCCTCAGCATTTGTGTATTAAGTTCTGCAGAGTATATGTTTGGATCTACAGCAGTTCATATTGGAAATTTAGTGGTTTACCTTCAGGTCTGCTAAAATGATTTTCAAGATTCTTAATTGTATTTTTTTGATGATTTCATTAGAGCAAAGGGTGTCCAATTCACACCGTGAATGACAAATATTTCTTACTTAGCTCACATGCACAGTGACCACAGAAATATGCAATGCATGCAGAACATGCAGTGGTAAAGTATGGCAACTCTTATCTCAGTGTAAGCAGTTCTCCACAGAAAAATCCCACACTGATGTGTATGTTGCCAATGAAGGCACTGATATGTAAGGTCGTAAGAATAATAATAATAAAAAAAATGCATTAGTAAGTCCAAGCATTGTTGATTAAATTGCCAAATGTCAAACCCTCCAGGTGGGCCATCTTACCTTAATGAAGCCCTTGATGTAAAAAGGATATTCATTTAAATGTCTTAGTCTGGCACAGAATGTCCAGAACCCATTTCTGCAGTAATGGTACAAAAAACAGGCAATCTATTTCGTGACTGCACTTACCTCAAACCTGCATTAGTTCCTAACATCTGAGATTTTATCAGCCAGTCAGACTGTGAGATGATTTGATTATCGGATTGCCATGCTCTGGGCAATAACAAGGGTCATCTTAAAAAGGTTCATTAGCAAGAGTTCTTTTCCAGGAAGCGTTTCAGTATCACTATGCCATACATTGTCAAATAGAGCTTTGCAGTCACTAGTTGGAAATTCAGGCTTTAGTTCTGGTATCCATGTGAAGGTGAATGTCTTGAACTGTTGCTATGAAGATAACATGTTTTAAAAGTTGCCCCAAAAGGGAATCTACAAAATAATATAAATGTGATTTGGACTTGGGGAAACATTGACCAACGCTATATTTTTCCTATTAACTCACAAATCAGTTGATTACAAGAAGTCCTTTGTTGTGTCCTTTGGATTGGGTGATTTGTGAGCTTGGATTTTGGCTCCTTCCCTCAACTCCCCTTGGCGTCAGACAGAGTGAGTCACAGTGTTCCCTCTCTGTTTATTCAAGTGGCTCCCTCTGTTCCATGGATACTTTTTTCCATTCACTTGGAAGGTAATGTGGCGGCATCACTAAGTTCCTCCCTCTAGGCATTATTTATCCTCTTCTAGAACAAGTTTTCCTTTCCCTAAATCCCAAAAGAACTACAAAATTGTTCTGCCATCTATGTAATGCATAATTAAACCATCTATAGAGTACCAGGCTGTGGGCTGTCCCTTTTGTTCCTTGCCCAGCCTATTTTCCCTGCTGGTCCAACACGTAAGCAAGCCATTGTCCATGGGATAAAGAGGAGGAAATGAAGCCTGTTTCCTCCCAAAGTAGGAGGCCATGGCGTGTCCTCCGCCTCTGAACCGCTCCCTTTGGCTTCCTCCTGGAGTTTGTTTTCTCACTGCAGGTTCACAGACAATGCTATTACTTCCATCTCTGCACATCTCCATGCAACACACCTTTAAAGAGTTTTAAACTTTTTTTGCCTACAAACAGATTTCTGCACGAGGTCTTAGAAGGAGTTTCGAAATGTGGTTGGCAGCAAAATAGGTGTCTAGTGATACTGTATATAGACTTAAAATGAAACAAATGGTTGAGGATTAAGTCACATGTTGTCCCCTAGAGAGGAATGTGTGTGGTTTTATCTGGATCCCAGGAGGAGGAGCACTCCATCAATCTCCTGGTCACCCACCTCTGGCCTTGTATTCTAGGCCTGGGGTGATAATAGAAGAAAGTGGAAAGATGTGTGGTTGTGTTTTCAGTGGTTTGGGGAAGGACAAATGGGCAGGTCCTCCTTAATATAGTATGTAATTAAAATCCCAGTTTGCAGTAAGCATGTGGGCCAGTTTATACTCGACAGAAAAAAGCTAAACAGTACAAAAACATATTTTTGTCCTGTGTTCCAAAACGTTCATGCAGTGGACTGTAACCAGCATTGAAACAAGGTTATGGACATCTCAATTCCACCATGCTGTAGATCCATTCTAGATCAAATGGTTAAGGAGGTCGGATATCAGACTGTGAATTCCCATTCCTGAGGAAAGAAGACTTTTAAGGACACTCCTGAGGAAGTGTCAGCAGCTAGCGTAAAATCACTACTTGTTTGTTTCTTACAAATGTGGCCACTGTAAAGCACACAGTGTCTGATATCAGGGGAGTCACAGGTAATTCTGCACCGTGCAACTCCCACATGCTATAGTAATCTCACTCCGGCTCATTTGCATGGCTACGGAGAGTCTTTGCATGGAAGGACCGTATTTCCTGGCAAATTTACCGCTCTGTGCTGGCCTCCATTTGACTATTCAAAACACTCATTTGCTCAACAGGAAACGAATGACAAAAGTGAAAAGAGAAAAGACAAGAGACGCAATCTTTGACATTGTATTTTGTTAGGGTTGTTTTCTTAGCTGAGCTTAGAGCTGTTTTGCATTTAATTTTAATGTTGAAGATTTAGATAAGAGTAGCTGGTCCTTAGATAAGAAGAAATCTGCTCAAGTTCTTCTTTGATTTGATGTATAGTGAATGTTGTGTTTGATGTGAACAGACTGTTTTATATGTTATATACTATATTATTATGTATTAATTTAACAATGTAAATCCATAGATAGTATGCAGCAAATGAGAATTAGAGATTTTTAAAAAATACCTTGAATAAGCAATAAAATAAAAATATGATGTGGCAAATGTAATGGCCATTAAATGTGGCCCCCAATTACAATATTATTTGATGTGAAATAGATTTTTCTTGCCTGTGACACTTCAATTCAGCACCTAACAAAAACACATTTCAAGGTGTCAAATATAATGGGCTACTCAGTGGTACAGTACAGCACCAGCGGCAGATCGCTTTACTCGTACAGGATTTCTGGCATACACATTTACACTTCTTTTGGCGTTTTCTCCATCATATAGGCTTTTATGAAATCCAATATCCTTGTCCCTCATTTGTGCTATGATTTATATTTGTCTAAGTTTAGGCTATGGAATATGCTTATGGTGCATAATGCAAACTTTGACAAAACAACCTATTCTTTTAAGCCACACCAAAAAAGGTACTTCCATATTTCGAGTGTACTATGCAAATACCATTGTGTATGATGAATATGGCAGTCATTGACTACAATTTGATGTATGTCAAAGTACCATAATATTAGCATATTGTACCAAGGCACAGCCACAGTGATTTTTGTGTACAAACAATAGCAATAGTTTCATAACGCCTGGACATATTATCTTTCCTTGGTCAGTTCAAAAAGAGAAAACAAACAAGATAGGAACTAAAGCAAGCTTTTTTTTATGTTGGGGTGTGCCCAAGATTACTCTTTCGCCCAATTATGAGGTCACAGATGGCTTATGTTATCCGGGGCTGTTTGGCTTACCCACATCACCACAGTTTCCAACAAAATACCATAGTTGGCATTGATTGTTAGTGCAATAAAACTAAACATTAATTTATTATGAAGTAGTAACAACTGGCATTTTACTAGAACGATGCTTGCCTGTGCAAAAATAGTCATATTAGGGTGTTGTGGCTTTACTACTAGGCTGTACTAGGTGCAATGGTAGATATTCTTGAAAACTAGTGTTAATAAACAACATATTTAGGCCCTGTTTTTGATTTAGGATATCCATTAATTCTAAATAACTACATTTAGCTGGTGGGATGTTCTCTCAGTTTAGCACATAGACACACAAACACTGTTTTCAAGGCCTTAATTCCACAGCTGGCACACCTTTTGGTTTTGAAACGTGTTGTTTAATGCCATGCTGTGAGTAAATCGGTATGCAATTAATCCCATTAGGATTATATTCTTTTCAGACCAACCATGGTTTGTAATTGGTTTCTTTGGAAGAATGGAGATTTTGTATGGTAATACAAATCAAAGCAGCTTAACTCCGCCATGAAAAGAGCAGAAACGAGTGGAACGAGGTGTCAGACTCGCATGTGCTTGGATTGACTGTAATGTAGGACGGTGTGAATGTTAGGCGTGGGTGGAGTGTGCATGCGGATTTGGAGAAGGTGGAGCAGTGTGTGTGCATGTGCTAGGCGTAAGAACGGAGGTTTTGTGTTGTGTGTTTCCAAGCCGGGTTTGCTGCAGAAAGTTAAATGGGTGGGTTACCACAGTGGGTAAACACATGATCTCAGAGTGAGGAGAGAAGTCTGGTTCCAGTCACATTGGCAGACGAGTATTTATGTGTGTTTGCAAATGCTGAGCGCACTGTTATTGTCTTGAACAACTGTAGTATTAGCATGTTTTATTGGCAAGCAACGAGGCATATTATGGTAATCATTCAGTACCATAGCATATCCCTTGTGAAAAAGTAGTACACTTTTAAGAGGAGTAGATTTTAACACACTTTCAAGAAAAGATTACGAAAATAATATACTTAAGTGAAACCTGAATATAATTTTTACAGACACTTAACTGCATATCAACATCAAATGTACCATAGACAGCAAAGGGTCTGAATACTTAGGACCATGTGATATTTCAGTTTTTCTTTTTTAATAAATCTGCAAAAATGTCAACAATTCTGTGTTTTTCTGTCAATATGGGGTGCTGTGTGTACATTAATGAGGGAAAAAAATTAACTTAAATTATTTTAGCAAATGGCTGCAATATAACAAAGAGTGAAAAATTTAAGGGGGTCTGAATACTTTCCGTACCCACTGTATATTACATGCAACTACCTAAATTGCTTTTCTGACTCAGAAGTACTTAAAGGGTTAGTTCACCCAAAAATGAAAATTCTGTCATTAATTACTCACCCTCATGTTGTTTCAAACCCATATGTTCTTTGTTCATCTTTCGGAACACAAATTAAGATATTTTTGATGAAATCCGAGAGCTTTCTGACCCTGCTTAGACAGC